GGTTCCACCACAATACCTTCCAATTCACTGCCCTACCATTCGGGCTCTCAACGGCCCCCAGGACATTCACAAAATGCATGGCACCAGTCGTCACGTACCTACAGACCCAACAGATAAAAATCTTTCCTTACATCGACGACTGGCTTCTAGTGGCTTGATCCTGTCACGAAGCGCTCTTGGCCACAAGATTCACCCTGTCCACCCTGGAAAAATTAGGCCTAAAAATCAATGCAAAAAAGTCCAACCTCATACCTTCTCAAGTAGTCTCCTACATAGGAGCAACATTGGACTCCGTTCGCACAAGGGCCTTTCTACCATCACAGCAAATTCGAAAGATCAAAACAGCTGTGAGCAAGCTCAAACCATGCGCTATACTCACAGCGCACTACATTCTACACGTTCTCGGACTAATGGCATCCACTACAGCAGTGGTATCGTATGCCAGACTCGAACTCAGACCCCTACAATCTTGGTTCATCACTTAGTTCGATCCCGTGACAGACCCACAGTCCAAGAGGTTGAGAATTCCCCCTCATGTCGCGCAGCATCTCGGCTGGTGGTCCAGATCCAGCAACCTGTCACGGGGAAGACCGTTCCACTCCCCTTACCTGTCTATACAGGTTGTCACTGACGCCAGAACCTCCGTGTTCACGGCCTTTGGACCCCAACCCAAAAGACCTTGCACATCAATCAGCTAGAATTGCTAGCCATCATGAAGGCCTTTCGATCCTTCCTTCCTTGCATCCAGAGTCATGCAGTGCAACTGGTAACGGACAATACCACAGTGATGCACTACATCAACAGGCAAGGTGGAACGTGATCAGCACGTCTCCTCCAGCTGACTGTCAGTTTTTGGAGATGGTGTCGTTCCCACATCCTCCCACAGATGATTCACAATGCTTCCAGGGACAATTCTCTGGCAGATCACCTGAGCAGGCTCCCTACTAGGATGCTTGAATGAACATTAGACCAGACGGTCTTTCTCAACATTTGCAAACGATGTGGACAGCTCACCCTGGACCTTTTTGCGTCCCATCTCAACACCAAGTGTGCCCAATACTGTTCCAGAGCGGGCATGGACGACGCTTCCTTGGGAGACACCTTCCTTATACCATGGTCAGGGGAACTGACATACCTCTTCCCTCCAATACCGCTGCTTCTCAGGACTATGACCCAGGATAATGCACACGGTACAGATGCACTCCTTGGTGGCCGAAGCAGCCGTGGTTCGCTCACCCATCAGAAATAACACAAGAAGTGTACCACTTACCTCAGATACCGGCCCTCCTGCCACAGAAAAACGAGGCTCTCCTTCATCCCGATGTTCGGTCCCTTCGCCTCACTGCATGGAGGATAACCCCCCCCCTCCGCGAGGTGCTAGACCATGCATGAAAGCCCTCTACTTTGCGCTTATATGAAGGCAAACGGAAAGCCCTTACCAAGTTTGCCCAATCTGAAGGCATGACCACCATTCCGGCTTCTCTACGCATGGTACTTACCTTTTTGCTGCACCTCTTCAATATGGGGCTTGCTTACTCCACGCTTAAAATCTACATTTCAGTGATTGTAGCGCACCAACCTCCTTGGTCAGACTCCGCGAGGCTTTTTTCTGACCCTACACTTAAAAGATTTTTAAAAGGTCTCCAAAATATACGACCACCCTCCCACACCATCGCACCGCATTGTCCCTTCCACTTGTCTTAGAGGTCATTACTAAACCTCCATTTGAGCCAATGGCTACTTGCTCTGAAAAACTTCTTTCCTTCAAAACGGCATTCCTAGTAGCCATTACCTCAGCCAGACGAGCAAGAGAGATTGCTGCCCTAAGGTCGGACCCTCCGTACCTGCAGATGCACCCAGATAAAGTTACCTTATACATGGACATTTCCTTCCTCCCAAAAGTGGTGTCAGAATTCCATGTCAATCAGCCCATTGTGCTTCCAACCTTCTTCCCATCTCCAACCACACCACTGGAGCGCAAACTACACTCTCTCGACTTTAGACGGGCCCTTGCCTTCTATCTACACCGCACCAAGTCCATCCGGTGTTCTCCACATCTCTTATGTTACCACGGACCACACAAAGGTGCTCCTGCTTCCTCTCAATCAGTATCATGGTGGATTGTTCAGCTCATTCACCTGGCTTACCAGCTGGCCAAGAAGCCTCTTCCAGAAGGCTTAAAGGCGCATTCCACCAGAGCAGTTTCTACCTCAACAGCCCTATTCAAAGGTGTCCAACTGCAGAACATTTGCAAAGCAGCCACCTGGGCTACCCCCCTGACGTTCGCCAGACATTACCGACTGGACATCAGAGCCAAAAATGATGCGGTGTTTGGACAGGCGATACTGTCATCCATGATATTGTGATGGCGCTCCTGCTGGTGAGTACAGCTTGCTGTTCACCCATTTATGTGCATTCACAGAGACCACTACAAAGAAAGTTAGGTTACTTACCTATAACTTTGGTTCTTCTAGTGGTACTCTGAATTCACATATCCCTCCCTTCCTCCCCTCTATCTGTCACAGTACCATTCTATGATACCATGCTTATCTAACATACGGTAACGGTGGATTTAGGGAACTGAAAGGAAGATGGAGGAGGCGGGGCTTATATACTCCACAGGGGGAGCTAATTGACTCTTTTTTTCTTAAGCTCTAGAATCTTCCGGACGTTCCTGCGCAGGAGCAGGATAACCTAATTGTGTGAATTCACAGAGTACCACTAGAAGAACCAAAGTTACAGGTAACCTAACTGTATCCTACACCTTTTCATACAAAATGTTTTTCTATTTGATCTCTGTCTTATTAGAAGGGCTGCAAAAATTAACCAGATTAAGCAATTGAGGGTGACCTCCAAGTTTGCACAGCTAGATTTCCACTCCTACAACATGACTTCTGCTCACACAACAGCACCTTTCTCTTCCTATCCACCCCCCTGCACCCACTTCAATTTGCTCGAGAGATCTGGTGGATGTATACAGTGGTACCTCGACTAACGAACATCCCTACTTGCAAACGATTTGAGTTATTAACGGCTACGTTCGCAAAAAGTTGCTTCAACTTGCAAACAGAGCCTCGAATTATGAACCAAAGGAAAAAAAAGAAAAAAACCCTTTCCTGCCCTCTTTTTTTGAGCTAAGTTCACCTTAGGTCAAAAGAAGAAATAAAAACAATTCACCCTCTAGTGGCAGAGTATGGATTAACCAGTTTTGCATTAGTTCCTATGGGAACTAATGCCTCTACCTACAAACAGTGCCTCGACATACTAAAGAAAAACAGCAGATATGGATTAAATGGTTTTCAATGCATTCCTATGGAAAAGTTTACCTCGACTTATGAACTTTTAGATGTACAAACGCCATTCCAATACAGATTAAGTTCATAAATTGAGGTACCACTGTAAATGGCTAATTGGGGGAGGGCACAACCATTCCACACTGGCCATTCTGCTGGCAGATTAACACAGCTGGATATACTGTCATAGTCTCAGTAAATTAATGAGTTAAAATCAGCTCTAACTGATGTGATGGAGAGTTTAAGGACACACATTTTGTTTATTTTACAAGGCTAGACTGATTCTGGGATATTAACATAATACAAGAAAACACATTTTTAAATATATATGTTTTGTTACCAAGCAATGTGATATGTGTTGTTTCTGAACAGGTTCTTTTATATTTCCTTTAGTTCATGAAGTAGAGGCTTAAGAAATACATACATAATTATCAAACAGTCCACCATTTGCTTTTTAACTGAATACTGTAGTAGAATGCTATCCATGCATACTCAGAAAAGTGGCTTTGCATTCAAAGTAGTTTACACCCAAATAAAAGGGCATAGATTTGCTGCCCACACATTCCTTATTACTTATTCCTAATTATTAGATTTGCTATTTTACACTGGTTTTAATTCTAAAAACAACTGCTCTTGCACAATTTAGTTTAAGATATTCAAGAGAGGAAATGTGGTTTGTTTAAATTTAATAAAATTCCAGCCACATTTTAATTGATGCCCCAATCTTAAAAATTTATTTAGAATTGGACTCCACTGATTTTGATTTAAAGTAGTTCTAAAAACTCATATACAGTTGTATAATAGAAAAAATATCACACAATCTACATACATAATGCAGAAATTCTATTTACTGGCTGCACCTAAATTACTTGTATTTACATATATTAAGTGATGAATCAAGCCTTAGTAAATCATGATATGTGCATGCAGAATCAAGTGCACACAACTCATTCATTCCTGTTGTCAAAATTCAAATAAGTCAACATTCATTCTTGCTTAGAAGTATGAAAACAGCAGTTTGAAAATTCTCTGATACAATGCTTGTATACCTCACTGTATGCCACGTAGTTATTGCAGAAGCCCAGATTTACAAGACAAATACCACACAACTCTGCTGCAGATAATGATAAGACTGCAAATCAAAATATCAGTCGGCATCTGGTATCATCTTTTATCAATCGGCATCTGGTATTTTGAAAGAAGAGACAACCCTGTAAGGTAAAGGTAAAGGTTCCCCTTGACATTTAGTTCAGTTGTGTCCGACTCCAGGGCACAGTGTTCATCCCCGTCTCCAAGCCACAGAGACAGTGTTTGTCCTTAGACAGTTTCCATGGTCACTGGCCACAGAATGCTGTTACCCTTCCCACTGCGGTGGTATCTATTTATCTACTCGCATTTACATGCTTTTTAACTGCTAGGCTGGCAGGAGCTGGGACAAGCGATGGGTGCTCATTCCATCGCATGGATTCGATCTTATGACTGTTGGTCTTCTGACCCTGCAGCACAGAGGCTTCTGCAGTTTAACCCACAGCTCCACCATGTAACCACCAGTTATGGACAAAGGAAAACCCTACTCAGAAAAGCAGCAGGTATTTAGGACAAGGTGTTTAGTTTTAAATGTAATGAAACATATGAACAACACTTCATTGTTCTTAACAGTAGTTAGCCTTTTAAATATGCCTACATAACCAAAGATTTTACTTCTGCAGAACATGTAGGCATTTGACAATCCAGTCATAGCTTTCTTTAAATGCTTCCACTGGTTTCTGCAAAGCTGCTCTACCATCATTGCTGAGTCCTGCTTCTGTTTCGTTAACTCCGTCCTCTATCCATTTCTGTAGCACCTAAAGAAATGCAAACGCTTATTACATACCTTACTCCAAATGGTTATATAAGATCTATTAAAAACCCAGACACCATTTAAAAAGAACAAACAATATTCATTGGGATGAAACCATGCTTCTGTATAAACAATGGCTCCTTTTTGTTTATATCTCAGAAATTATTTTTTTCTACAGACTCCAGTTTCTTTGTTCTTTTATTTCTTGAAGATAAGAAAAGGACAAAGAGAAGCACAGAAAAAAATGATAGCAACTCTATTACAATAAATTGTCATAAACCAGCATAACGAAATATTTTAATGTTATATGTGATACAACAGTTGATTTATTCCCACATAAAGAGAAGAGTCTTAAAAATATGCCATATTTTTCCATTTATAAGACACACACACTTTTCTAACCCCAAAATGAAGAAAACTTAGCTTTGAGTATTCAGCCTCTGGGCTCAGAACGATCAGATATTAGGAGTTCCTGTTGAATCTGAGCCTACAGGCTCCAACAAGGTGTGTTCCAATTGGTTTGTTTAGCATGAGCTGACATCAGTTCCATAAGGCTCCTGATTGGAGGCAGCTAAGCCTCATGATTGAAGGATGTCTGTTTACAGAGGCAAGGTAATTATTTATTTATTTAACTTGTATGCCGCCCACACTACCCAAAGGTCTCTTTGGGTATGAGCCAGTTTGTTCTCTCATGTTCTCAGCTTACTTGCGTGCAAAAGACACTTATCAATTTTTAATGTAATTATTTTAGGAAAAGGTAGTGTCTTATACACAGAAAAACACAGTAACTAGTTCTTGAGCAATTTACAATCAAGAACTGTATCTGTAAAATGCAGTACCTCCTGGATATACATATCTTAAGAACTATTGGATAGCTCAGAGTTTGGGGTATGGAGTTTGATTCCCCACCGAGCCTCCCTGACAGGTGCTGGACTTGATGATCCATAGGGTCCTTTCCAGTTCTGTAATTCTAAGAGTATGATGATGTAATGCAATTGAGAACTACAGAGCTGAAAAACTACCTCCCTGCTATATAAACATCTGGGGTAGTATTCTATTTTATTGCATATTTTATTTATATACCACCCCATTGGTGCAAGCACTACTTTGGGTAGTTTACAGGTTAAGAAACCCCACAGGACCCCTTATTAATAACTGACATTCAACTAATATGGTAATACACATGAAGTCTAAAATTCATAGAAAAAAGAAAATAATTATAGTGTTCTAGAGATTCAGTTGTAGAAGACAAATTTTACAAATTTCCTGAACATGAGGGAAGGAGCTTAGCATATCTTGGTTGCTAACTTGTTTCAGAGACTGGGGCCACCACCCAAAAGGCCTGATTCCTTGTCATCAGCTTTTCACCTTCCTCGGTTTGGTCACTTTTAGCAATATGGATTAAGATGAGCTATTGGAATGGGTAGTTGAGTCCTCGGATAGACACCCCAACAGGTATTCAGGTCCTAAACCATCAAAGGCTTTAAAGATCATAACCACTACCCTGAATTGAACACTGAAACTGTAAGTCTCTTTGTAAGTTAAAGGTCCAGGACCTTTGGTAGTTGAGGTGGTATTCTAGGATAATTATCAGTTTTCTCATGTTAGATATCCTACCACCCCATGCAAACACTTTTTATTCCTCTAAAGCATCAAAGATTTTGGCAATTAATCTCATAGCAGGGGTGGACCTATGCAGTCTTACTAGCTAAAGAACCTTGGTAAGCAACTCCTACCATCATATACAAGATTTTGCTGTTCATTCTATCAACTGGGAGGGAATCTTCCTACCATCATATACAAGATTTTGCTGTTCGTTCTATTTGCAACTGGGAGGGAATCTCCATGCTATGTGATGATACTGAAGTGTTTGCATCATTTTAGCACAGCTCACTATCTCAAACAACTAGGAATATATTCAGGCAAAACTGCTCCCTGTGAAAAACTTCATTGTTCACTTCGAATCTTGGCTAAAAAACACAAACCTCTGGATCCAAATAATGGTAGTTACTGGTAGATTACAAATACTGTATTAGGACACTGCAGAGATTTACAGGACTTTCAAGTGGCTTTTAAGCTACGGTTGTTTGCTACACTCCATAAGAACCAAAGCTGCACATTTCTTTTTCATATCTCTTCATGAGTGGGAAAAACAGGACAACAAGAAAGGGTCCCTCCCATTCCCAGTAGCAAACTTATGGTTAGGCTCTTAATGTTAGACTATACAGATCACAAGGACTATACAGATCACACACCTGGTATCTTTCCATAATGTTGAATCCAAGGGCAGATTGCAGCTTGCGCAGGCAAATGGGGCAAAGATCTAGTGGCCGTCGGTCTGCTTCCTCCAAGTGATTAGACCCCTGCATAACACACTGCAACCACTGGCAATGATGAAGCCCAAAGATGTGTCCAATCTCATGAGTCAGGGTCTAAAATACAGATATTGTTGGAGTTTTTACAATCTTGAATGCTGCCTGGAAGGGACTGTCAATCTATCCAGCACTAGTCAGTTGTTCCTTCCTGCCTCTGAATTTCAAAGAGAGCCCTGCCTCTCTGCTAACAGTTTCCCCCCTCTCTAGAGTCTGTGTCAGGGTCATGCACAGTTGCCTTCAGCAGCGGGAGCAAGGGCACCAGGACCCAGTCAACAGCATAGAATGCCAAGCCCAAACTCACACATGGAACAACTAGCCAGAACAGAAGCAAAAACCACAGTACAGGGACTGGAACTGGGCCACAGGAATAGACACACTGAGCCAAAGCAAGAATGAAAGGTTAGGAATACCAGACTTCAGAGCAGGAAAACTACAACAAAACCAAAGACTGAATTGCTGAGACAGCTACTGGGAGGGAGAGTCATTCCTTAAGTAGGCCTTCCCTTAGGACTCCCAAGTGGACCTCATAAGAGCCCCTGCAGCTGCTACCCCAGCAGAGCTTGATCCTGCAAACACTGGGCTCTAATCCAATCCACCAGGTAGTGCACCCAGCCACAAAGCCGCTTGGAGTCCAAGATCCTGGGCAACATGAACTCCTTGTGACCCTGCACCTGGACTGGCAGTGGCAGTGGAGCCTGGTGACCAGGGAAAGGGTTCACCACAACTGGTTTCAGCTGAGACACATAAAATACTGGGTGCATATAGAAATGAGGAGGGAGGTCTAGCCTATAAGTGACCGGACTGACTTGCTGGGAGATATGAAAGGGTGCCTGGAAACCAATATCCAGTTTAATTGATGGGCGGAGTGAGCAGCAGTGAGCTGGGGCCTGATGCAGCGCCTATGGTTAGCCTGCACCTTGTATGTCACCTTGGCGCAGTCCAGGTGGTGGCAGAGCTGAACCCAAACCTCCTGAAGGCGATTGGTGGCCAATGGGACCTGGGAATTGGTAGGCATGCAGGGATGGTCCCAAGGGTGGTACCCATAATTCATACAGAAGGGGCTACTCCCTGTTGCGGAGTGCAGAGCATTGTTATTTGAGAACTCGACCAATGGGCGCATGCCCACCCAACTGTCCTGGTGGAAATTCAGGAAACAGCAGAGATATTGTTCAAGGACCTGGTTCACACGTTCTGTCTGACCATCAGTCTCTGGGTGGTAGGCCAAGGATAGTCAGCATTCGATCCCCAGGAGCTTCAGGAAGGCAGCCTGTAAGTGGGAC